GTCCTTTAGTTCAGGGAGTGAATTCACTGACCAGCAGATGTATCACTTTAACTAAGGCCATTTGTGTTTATATATATATATTTTTTTTATTTTATTTTTTTTTTTAAAATGAAAAAGGAAAAGGAAATTATATAAAAAAAACAAAAGGAAGAGAACGTAGTCCTAAACTACCTTTTGATAAGTGTCGGCATTATCTCTGCTTTTCACCTTCTAAATTATCAGTAAGTTCTTGCAAAATAACAATTTCATGCGTGCTTTTTATAAGAAAAGATTTATTAGTTTGAAAAACTGTATATATATTGTTCGTGGGAAAATTTTAAAAAAATGATTGGTTGGAAAGTGACACAAGATTTTCTCTACGTAATCTTCACGACATTCACGTGATATTTCTTTAATCACGCCCTCCACTTAAAGTTAGAAAATTTTTTTTACGAAAAACTCTGCAAATCGTTATTTCCTTCAAAATTCATTGGATCGGATTTAATTCTCTGTGCCGAGTTCCCTTAACGTTAAATTTTTTTTTAAAAAAAAATCGTGAGAAATGACTGTAAAAATTGTGTAAAGCCAATCAATCATTTCAAAATCTTCAGATAATCATAACTTGCTAAAGGGAAATTTATGTTCAAAAGCAAATAACAATTTGGAAAATCACTTGAGATTTATTTCGAATTGTAATGATTATTGTGAATTAATTATATTCCATCTGATAAGCTTTTAATTAGTGATTGAATGAGTTGAATGAGCCCCCCCCCCCCCCAACAAAATAATGATTAAAAAATAATCTATTAATCCATTTATATTTAAACAAAAGTTACGCCCAGCTCGAATAAATTTATAAAACTTCGAATGTAAAACGGTTTTTGCATTTTTAGCGCGACAATATCTATTAATAAAGTATTTAATGAACTTCTTTTATGCTAAAGATTTTACTCAACTTTCTTCGAAACGGATGATAGCACTGCATCTTCCCCCACTCCCTTTGGAATTGAAGATAGTACTCAAATCGAAATACATGTGCATGAAGAACAGTTCGTACTATTGAAAGAATACAAGAATCTTAATTAGATAAGTCTCTCTCTGGAGATTGAAGGCGTTCCAGAGTAGACGCATGCGAGATATCTCATTCTAGAAGAAAATAGATCGTACTAGCCAATATTTATTATAGATTACAAATCTACATATATTTCCACAATAACGTCATCTTCAATTATAACTCTCTCACATGTACTTTTACCAATAATTGAGAAAATCAAAGTTTCAATTTTAATATAACAATCGAAACTATTGGTCTCATTGCGAGAAACTCATGGTATACCATGTCTAACAGGTAAATTACCAAATTCCGATTATAATTACTTATAAATGAAATTGATGGTGGAGTAGTTGATTTAGATAGACCTATTGGATTGGTTTTGTTTGAACGTTAATTCCAATTATCCAATGTAAAATTCATTCGATAGAAGACACGAAATGATAATAATCTTTGTTACGGTAAGGGATACAAAAAAATTAAATTATATCTGATTGACGAGATTGTAAATTGGGCTTAATAGCACCCTAACACGCAAATTTTCATTTTATTTTATTTTTTACTTTTTATTCACGTGCGTGTTTTCGACATATTTTAAACATTTCTTTTTTTGTTTACACGGAATGAAATCCGAGAAAGGTATGTAGTTTAAAATATTTATAAAATATATTATATTTTTTATTTCATTAATAAAAAAGATGTGGAACCTATATTTATAAACTCGGTTCAAGGCATTTTTTTTTTAAAAAAAAAGTTTCACCTTTACCAATGCATCAAAAAATCATCCATATCTATAAAAACTATAAAAAAAATTATCCCTGTAACTTTGGGCTTCGGCATTTTGAATTTTAACAACGAATTTTCAATGTCGTTTCAGATTTTTTTTTACCGAAAGTAAATATAATAATTTTTTGCGATTCTAATTAATACTAATACGAATGGATAAAATTTACCGTCATATTTGAGAAAACAAAAAATGTTTAAAATTATTATAATTCATTAATTTATTTAATAAAAAGAATCTAAAAAAAGTATTTTATATAAAATACAATTTTTTAAAAATAAATAAAAAAAATATATATATTAAATAATAGTTAGGGTCTGAAATAGAAAAGTAATTTGCAACTTTAGCAAATTAACCGTTAAACATAAATATTTCCTACGATCAAAACCAAAAATATAAGAAAAATATGAACTTCTATAACGATTTAGAAGCTTTGTTTTAGTTTCAATCCTTATTCAACGACCCCGTTCGGTAAAAAATTGTACAAAGTTTCATAAGATATTGTGGTCATTTTATTAAATGCATTGTCTTAACTTTGATTTTGTATGTTTTTCTTATTTTTATTACAAATGTAAGATTAAAGCTTTAATCATTTTTTTTTTTTATTAAAAATTAAACAAATATATCATTGACAATCATAAATGGAAATACAAGAATACTTCTCAAACATCATGCAGACTCTATAAATTATATACCACGGATGAAATTTGCAAAATGACAATTTTAATTTGTGCATTTTTTTTTAATTAGTGATCGAACATTTCGCCCTTTAGATTTTTTTTTTTTTTTTTTTTTTAGGTTATCTTTTATGCTAAATCGCAGCGGTCGTTAAATTACGCTTAGCCTTCCATAGTTAACTAATAAAAGAGCATATTTTTTCACATCTCTATACTGCAATATTGAAAAATTCTTTCATTTGATAAGTAAATACATTGTACAGTGGATTTTTCTGAATTGGAAGATATATCATCCTAACTTTAATTCAAATTCGATATAAATTTTATATTTAAATGCTACTTCATATACTTCGAAAACTAAGCAGTTTATAAATAGGACTAATTCTTGCATTTTCTTTGCTACCATACTTTTCTTAAGATCGTTACCGCAATTTTAAATTATAATTATGTTTGAATTTTGTAACATTGGTTTTCACATGATCTTTTAGCAAAAGGAGTATTTATTCCGATTAAAAGTCAGCCCAAGCCCCAAAGAGGACTTAAGCATATTAGTAATGTTTATTGTTACAAATTGTTCAATAAAGGAAAATCACGGTGGGAAATTTTTAAATGAGAACCACGTGATTTGTTGATATAAAAGTTGTTGCAAATGACCTGATCCAACTCAAAAACAATTTTTTCAAGATGCAAATTTATGGTCTTTGTTTTGTGATTGAAAACGAAGTAAAGCCGATTCCTTTACAGCATGTAGTCGTTAAAGCTAATAGTAAGTTCATGTTGATAATTCAGTATTATGTTCCAATTTATTAATTAATAACATCAACATTCCTTTTTAGTCGTTGATATGATCACCGAAGGTGTGTAGTAAATGATGGTACGGTAATGTAATCCTGTAACGTAATTAAGTCTTTTCTTTTATATAGTTACTATCAACCAGACTTATAAAAATGTTGAAAAGGATACCATTGAAGCTCTTTATAAGTTTCCTA